TGAATTCGCAGTGTCGCTCCTATGTTGCCTCTGCATGCATTTCAGAGCTCTCCGCGAATGTAGTTCACACGCACGGATACACGTGTGGCAGTTCATGCCTTGGCAAGTGATGTCGAAACAGCAGCACTGATTGGACAGGAGCAGACCATGGCCCCTCCCAAAACACACCCCTCTGTTTTTTGATTGGTCTTGATGGGCGGGGCTATCGGCACGAGGCTCCACGGTCACGTTGTTCAGTGACTGGAACTGCAGTCAATTTCCAAACAACAGTGGAAACACGAGAGGACGGACCTCCCACTTCAGGAGAGTATACCGTAATAGAGATAATAGCATGGAACAGAAATGTGAAGAAGGGCAATGTTATAACGACAGCAATCTTACTACCAGCGCTATTATTATTATTATTATTATTATTATTATTATTATTATTATTATTATTATTATTAGAATAGATTTCAAGAAAAAGAAGAACAGGAATTTAACAAAAGGACTAAGAGGAAATATTTCTTCTTTTTTTATCTGAATGAAGTTCAATGTGTATGGAAGACATTTGAAAAAATGAGCTTCCTGTATTGTAAAACCTAGTCATTGGCAGATTGGCTATATAATCCATGTATCACACATTGCATTTAAAGTTTTCCTTTGTATTTTAGGCAGCACTGTTGTTCACAGTTTTCTTTTGCCTTTTGCTTTTATTCTTGTTAGAAATATAATTCTTATTAGGTCAGTAAAATATTAGTTGGAAAATAAATATAAAGGGTGTTTAGACTTTTTAGTGTTATTGCTATTGATGATTATTGAAAAACTTCATATCAACCTGGGATCTTTTCATTGTATTTTTATTTGTTTAGCTTTTGTGTGTAATATTTTACTCTTTAACCATTTATTCCTATTAAAAATATTTTACTTTACATTTTGAATCTTTTTTGTCGTCTTACCCGGCCAAAAAATAAATAAATAAATCAACAGTTTATTTAAATATCATAAACTATTTTACATCACTGAATGACTGCTATCTTGCTGCAGGCTAGTGCAAATGCTACCATCAGAGCAGAGAACCACGAAGCGCTAATTAGGATGCGGCTTCGCGTCGTTATTACGGCTGCGCCAAAGCTCCGGCATGCACATCTCAACGTGCTCCCATCATGACATCATGTGTCCCCCGCCCCTTACACGCCCTCATTCACCCCATACACTTGGCCAATAGGAGGTTACTGAGACGCTGTAAACAGAGCAGATGTAGGACACTAAAAATGACACGCACACAAACTAAAAACAAAACATTCTCTTGTGCATAAACATTCAGGTTTTTTTTGTGGCGCTTTAAAATAGATATGTGCAAAGATTAATTAGTACTTTAAGTATGATATTTGAAATTAATCTCTGACACAGCAAAAACCTGAAACCTTTTCAAACGTGTTAATTTTCCTCTGATGAGAAACGCCTTACTCTTATTTGGCAAGTGGGAGTTCCCACGGAGCTTCTTCCAGGTGACGGCTGTTTTAAGGGGTTGAGATTCCAGGTTCATAGAAGGTGATGTATAAATTGTTCAATATGTTGTGTTTTTGTTTTTTGTTTTTTGCCCTAGACATTTTTTTTTAAATGTAAATATGAGGTCATGGATTACAATCTTGGTTAAAGATCTTGCCAAAAATCAAGGTTTCCTGAATCAAAACAAAACCCAGAAAGCCCTCTGTGTTTCAGAAATGCTGTGTTCTTCTCCATGAAAGCTCCATATATATACACACATCAGCACTTTTTGCTAGTGCTGATGTGTCTTCTTTGCCAATTAGCTTCAGTTTTATCCTGTCGGTCCAAAGAAAGCTCTCCGGAAGGTGTTGGGGATTATCAACAAGTAATTTTGTGATTTTATCTTGTGTGTTTTTCTAACAGTTGTGGAGCTCAAATGGGTCTTCATCCATAGAGACTATTATTGATTCAAAATGGTTGTTCAGAAGCTTGAATGCTTTTGACTGTTCTCTTGGATCATTTTCTACGATCCACACGATCCTTCTGATCAACCCGAAGTCGTATTTCCTCTTGAGTGCACATGGTGGGAAGGCATCTGCAGTAAAAGCTGAGCTTGGAATATAATTACGATGAAACAGTTATCATTGTCCATTGGAGTGCAGGTAATGCCATATTTTAGCATCTGTCAGCAAAACATCCACCAAACCACACGTAGTTTACTACAATCAAAGGGACGCAGAATTGCATGGACATTTGCTTTGAAATAAAATCATTTTCAGGGGAAATGAAGCATTGTTTTAATGAGCTGCCAGTTCCAACAACAAAATAATAGGTGTTCAGTGACATCTGCAGAAAATGTGCCCAATAGAGGGCAGCATTGCAACATATTCTATCCACTGGCTGGAAAACACCAAATTTGAATCAAATACTAAATTGGAAACAACTGAAATGCTATGCTTCACTGGGAGCTTTGATTCCCCATTAAATCATAAGAGAGAATAAAATGTTAGTTTTGGCCCCCAGAATTTTCTGTGTTTTGCGATTTCACATCAAGAAGTCTCGGTGTCCCAGTCCTGTTGGCGATGCAAAGGGTGTGTGATAGATTCAGACATGCTGCCCATTTGAAGAGAACACTCAAACAGAGCACTGGCTACACTTATAGAGTCACAAGTGTAAGTTGTGTCTCTGTAAATGCTTTTTTTTTTTCTGGAACAATAACAATTGGATTTATTTTGCACGTTTTCATTTCCAATTTGTCTAAACAAACATGAAAAAAAATCTGCAAAATTGGTTTTGTAGTTGTTTGACGAAATCTTATTGTTATGATCAGGCGTTTTTTAATGGAATGTGGCTGTTGTCGTAGTTGACCTTTATTAAAATCCTGAAATGGAAAGCTGCAAAACCAAATGAAGGTTTGATTTTATTTCCGTGTCAGCACTCTGAGGTGTCAGGTTGTCTTTCTGAATGTTCAGTCTTTTTTCTAGCTGGTGTCGAGCCTGACGGAGAACATGCACTTTTGATTGTGACTTTGCTAAAGGTCAGTGGCTAAAGAAAAGACAACAGGTGCTCATTGGGGAGAGGCCACTTTTAGCAGCAGCACAGCTTCAATGAACAAAATTCATCAGAGGTAGTTATCTGTGATCTTGGCGCGCTTTGACTGCAGCACCGACAGAACATGTTTTTGATCAACACCCGCTTTCTGGCCTGTTGTCCTGTGCATTCTTCAAATTAAAAGCCACGTAAACACAATACGCTGTTCTTTAAATCGTGCCGGTGACTCAACATTTTCAAGTTATTTCATTCACACCCTCAAACATTGAAAGCAACAGCAGAAAGAAACGGCAGCACAGTGTCTGAGTTGCTATGTTTTCTGCCTCCCGAGTGACTCATGCCGGTTCATCTGTTTGTTCCCCTGCCTGCACACAAACAAGAACAGAACGATGTGCGGTGTTTGCTTGCTCTCTCAATAACTGTGCATTTTGCCAACATGATTATTGGTGTACCTTCAGTGAAGATCTGTAAAAATCAAAAACAACTTTAAAATATATTCATATTTTTGTGAAATGATGTGACATAGGAATTACTGTAAAACCATCCTGGGGTTTAGATATGATGTGACAGATAGATCCATTTCTCTAAGGGCATGTTCAGTTTTGTAATTTATATAAAACTATTTTGTGTTTTTATGTATATAAAAAAGCTAGTGTATTATTGCTGCATATAAACAAGGCAGATCAGTTATTTGTTGTGTATAAATACACATGCAGATTTGCAGATTGCAGATTTGCTCAGTCACTGTGGTGTGAGGCTGAAGAAACACAAGTCAGAGTTTAGATACAAGAAAATCTTCATGTGATTGGGCATCCCTTGCACCTCTGCCCTGATCACCTCTCTTCTCCTTTCATTTTCTCTTCTCTCCTCACTTCTCCTTTTCTCTGATCTACTCCTTTCTTACTGAGCAGTCTGGATGTCCTAAAACAGAGATATGTTTTATTGTCCAACATTACTGAAACAACATTTGAAGTTGTTAGGTTATAACACAGGTTCATTATTTGAAATGTTATTTGAAGTTTATTCTGTGTTTTGGTTTTGATGACTTTATGGATTAAAAACATTGAGAAGGAGTACGATCTGAATGTCTTTTTTGGGGGTACATCTTACCTTCTCTGAATAAGTAATGGTTGTGAACTGATTTTAATTAACTTTTATTTGTAATTATCAGATATTACCTACTAGCAAACAAGATATAGTTTTACCTAATTCAACTGAGTAAGTAGCTGTTGAATATATACATAAATATGAGGTCAATTTTACCCAATTTCTTTAAGTATTTCATATATTTTTTTATTCAGTTATTTTATACTCAATATATGGAATTGAATTTACCCCAAAAGAGTCAATGCAAATTGTTACCTCAGATTTTTTAGGTAAATTCTATAGATTAGTTTTTACACTGTACAGAACCTCTGAAATGGACTCAGCCAGTCTCTGTACAGATTACATTGCCTTGCACAAGAATGCATTCTCACGCAATACTTTTGAGTTACCTCCTAAGTTCTTTTGCATTCCTGAGAAATAGATTTTGCATAGGAATTAAATACTTTTGAGTTGCGGTCAGTTTTGCGATTTCTTGCACCGATGTGCCAGTCGTTTTACGAGATGTCTGGAGTTTTACATCTTTTTCTTTAGGATACACATGTACCACACACCTGCATACAAAATGCAAAAGCAAAACAGTGGCTTTCCATCCCTTCTCTAAGACATAAACAGAAGCTTTTTGAAAGAAACAAAAAAAATATCCAAGCTATTTGGACTATTTTTGAAAGGATAAATAGATACCTGTGAGTGTCTTTTAAGGTATACTCATGTGCAATTTTAAATTTGAATTTGCTATCACTGTGACTGTACACAAATAGACCAGAATATATTTGCACATAAACTGCAAGGGAACGCAAATAGAAAAATAAATTCCCACATGTCCCCTAGGGGGCGCCGCAGGCTCCGTACGAGTCTGCGTATTCGGAATCGAGAAAAGCCGCCATTTTTTTTCTGGATTTTAAATAAAACGAAAACCCGAGTGGCGGGGGCGAGCCCTCTCGCTCTGTTCGCCGTGTGCTTCTCTCTGTGGGAGGCGGTTCGAGTTCAGACAGGGCGTATCCTCTCGGCACAGAGCAGGAAACATGTTGGTGTGGGTAAGCGGTCCCGCCTTTGGTTGAGTTTGTCCAGAGTTTGGTTCCGAGAGAGACGTCCAACCGTCGCATCCCCACCAACCTAACGGCCAGCTTCGGTCTTTTAATGGCTATCGCTGCCCCAAGTAAGTTTACGCGCTTTCCCGGTTTCGTGTGCGGATGAAACTCGGGAAATACGCCACAAATATGTGATATTTGTGGCGTATTTCCCTTAAACGTTTTCTAAAACACTTGTGTTGTACTATCTTGTCTTTATGTTGACGTTGCAACATATTTTGCTAGAAAAACCGGCGTGTAGTAAAGTTGCTCGAGTGCCAGTTTCACTTTTATAATGAGGAACACAACAGCTGAGTCTCATTGATTGAAAATTTCGTCATTGTTCAGCCTGTTAGCCCTCGAAATACAACATATTTTATATTAAGTCGGTGTAACATTTTCTGCTGTTGATGTAGCCTTTAAATAGTAACTTCAGTTCTAACTCTTACTGTAACGTCAGAGGATTTGCATCGAGAGAGATTTGCATTCTCTCTCATTATACAATAATGGGATCCCTTTTTTTGTTTGTTTTTTTGAGGGGGGAAAAACTGCAAAATTATTGACTCCAAACTAACTATTTTGTAGATTGGAGCTGTTTAGCTGATGGAAAATCTGTTCATGCTCAGTTTTTGGCAGCTGCGTTGTCATTCATGCATTCAGCAAATATGCCAAACAATAACAACATCAAGATTTCCATTTGAAGCCCTGCTGCTTTTTGTTATCCAGTAGGATTGTAGCTGAATATCTCTGTGATGTCTGGAGTTCATTTTTTCAAATTATTGTCCAAGAAAGGCCTGTAAAACGTGCAAGTCCAACTAAAGGTGTATAAATCCTCATAAATTGATTGATTTATTTTATTATGGAGGCCTAATTGGGCCCAAAAAATGTCAGAATTTTTTTTTTACTACTTTTATTGAGTTGGGTCACAAATGAACTAAATTATGTGATAGCAATTCAATGTGAACTTAAGATTTTAAAAAAAATTCATACTAACCTTTTTAAGACTAGTAATCACAAACTTTAAACTAATAATCCATCACTTCCTTGGTCCTAGACCCTAAACTTAATAGATTATTGCAAGCATCGTAATGAGGGATGAGGAAGATCACTGTTGAGGAAATGTGAACACAGCAGTATTTATAAATCATGTCACAACTGCATGATTTCTCAATATTGTTCATTTCTCACAAATGGATATTTTGTTTGTGGGGGAACCATAGACAGGCAAAGAATGACTGGTTCAGACGACTTCCTAGAAGACAAACTACCTGTAAGATTTAAAGCCAGGGATTATTCTTAAAATGTTTTAAACCCCTCTAACAAGATGCAAAAAATCCCCCATGTATTGCGGGTGATGACTATGCTTTTTTTTCTAATCAGGTAAGCTTTGTTGCAGTACCTAAAACTTTTGCAATTTCCTGAGCGCTGGTACACAGAAAACCACTTTAGGATGGAGTCTTTTATCCCGTTCCTGTGCTGACCTTGATGTGTGTATGGTTACGGTGACGCCAGTTTTTTTTTTCTTTTTTTGGCTTTTCTTAGTTTTTTTTTTTCCCAGAAAAAATTAATCTTTATTCTACGTCCAGTTTATGTCTATTTTATAATTTATAGAAACCTTCATCGAGCTCAACCTCATTTAGCTGAATCTGATTTGTATAAACTACTTTATCTGGGGTAAAATAATAAAAAAAGCCTCTTTAAAGATAAAAATAACTCTACCAGAGGTTGTGTTTTGACTGGAGATCTCAAAAGAATGTGAACAATATTCATACCAAACTGACAATATTCATCACGCTATAGATTACAGTGGTGACAGCATCATGCTGTGGGGATACAGTGAAGCTGGTTGGAGTTGATGGGGAAAATGAATGGAGCTAAACGGAGAGAAACACTTAAAGGCTGAAAAGACTTGAAGCATCTCACTAATGTGGCAAGGGTGCATATCATGTATTAGACTGGCCCAGTCAAAGTTCAGACCTAAATCTGATTAGTAGGATTTTAAAAATGTATATTCAGGTGCTCTCCATCCAGTCTTCTGGATGAACTTGAGCTGTTTTGTGAAGAATATGTTTTAAAAAAAAAAGTTAATGGAGACATTTCCCAATTACACTTTGGAGCCTCTGTATTTGTCAGTCAACCAGTTTTCCTGTCACTGCTGAAGACAACCATCCACAGTATTCTGACCGTGGGAACGGTGTGTTCGAGGTACAGGGCAGTGTTTTTAAACATTTTAAAACGATAATTTTCCTTCAACTTCACAATTAGACACTACTTTGTTTCAGCACATCACATAAAAATCCTAATAAAACACTCCAAGTTTTGTGGGTGTAACATCTGAAACCGTTCAAGAGATGTAAGTACATTTAGAAGGCTCTGTAAATGGCTATAAAGTGGAAGTGATGGATTTTTAACTTGACGCTGAAGAGTTTACTCTCTTCTACAGATGGAGTAATAAACGCAGCAGCATTACTGAATGAAGCTCAGAGGTTAAAGTCTTTGAGTCTCCCTTTTACTATATAATCTCAGGATGCTTAATGTAGAAACATACCTGTAAATATTTCACAAAAGAAATGTGATACTCTCTGGCCACTGCTGTTATGAAACATGCAGCCCACAGGGTTGAGACATTTCTGTCCTAAGTCTTTCTACTGACATCAGCTTGAAAAAGGGATTTCCGATTTTTTCTGGATTTATACGTTTCAACTTGCAGACAAAAAATATTTTCGGTAATTTTGTGCAGCAAATCCCCTTTTTACGCATTTCTGGGAGATTGACTTCAGTATTTTCTTCCATCATTAAAAGAGTGAAGTTGTTGGACTGAGTTGAACAGTTTTGTGTATTTTTAATAAGCAACAAGGGAAATAAAATGTTCTCAGTAGTTCCTTGATCAGACATTATAAAAGAAATATTGGTTGACTCAGATCACTGGCTAATGTTTTTGCATCAGTATTAGTCAAAAACAGCTGATGAAAGAAGATTTTATTTAAAGTTTTTCATTTCAGAAATTTTAAATTATGAAATATTTATGATGAATGCTGAGTTAAATGTGATGAGATCACCTTATTAGTCTTTTAAGGAGTTTCATTAAAGGAGAATATTTGACTTGTGTATCTGGATATTATACATTCTGGAAAGCAAAAAAACAAGTCAAATGTCACAGAGTTGGACATCCTTTAATTTAATGTATGAAGCTCAAGGTTAATATTTTATGATTCTCTACCTGTCATCTTGATGTGTTTCTGTCATCTTTTCTGCTTTGGCTGTCTCACAGGGTCTAGGTTTATTTTGGCTTGGCTTTAAGTCCTCTGAAAATACCCTTCTCATCCAGTGTTCTATGTCTGTTGTGGTTTTATTGCTCTAATCAGGGGTGTCAAACTCCAGGCCTCAAGGGCCACTGTCCTGCAGGTTTTAGATGTGCCACAAGTACAAAACATTGGACTGAAATGGCTTAATAACTTCCTTTTTGTGTAGATAAATTCTCCAGAACCCCTCTAATGACCTAATTATTCTATTCAGGTCTGGTGCAGCAGAGGCACATCTAAAAGTTGCAGGGCGGTGGCCCTCCAGGACACCTGTGCAAACTGATCTGTGATTGTTAGGCACTTTAAGGACTGTTCCTGAACAGCCTGCATACTGTGAGCTACTTATTTCTTCACAAAAGCACATGGAGCCATTTGGTCACAAGACGGTCAGTGAGCAGACAATGTTCAATGTGTTCAGTCTGATGCAGCAGGAGGCTGGGACAATGGAAGAGGCCACATGAGTGGGTAGTGGGACAGTATAATATCTAAATGTTGTGCTCTGGCACGTATCAAATTAAATGCAGTCAGGATCTTACAATTATTGGATTTGATATTGGTCTGAATTGTGAGTGCCAATATTATTTCCCCTGACTATGCCATCCATTCACTGATGTGGAGAGGAAAGCAGACAAAACCCCCCTTGTGTGTTTTTGCTGGTTTTGCTCACGTGACTCGTATGCCTTAGGAGCCACAGCATACAGATTGCAGACTACACTGTGGTTACTGAACATAAGAGCCAAAATATTTATTCTAATTTGTGGAATGTATTTTGCAAAAAAAAAAAAAAAAAAGCATCCAACTATATCAAAAAGATGCTGAAGTATCAAAAGTCAGCTAGGACGTTGAAGATTTGGTGCAAATAGATTTTCCAAATGTACAATGGCCCTAATCGTCCAGCCAAATTAATTACAAGATGGCCTCTAGACTAGGATGGCTACCATGAAGCTCTGATCTCAGTACTGTAGAAAATCTGTGACGGGAAGCTAGACCTTTACAGATTAAAATCTTTTCTACATTTACTAAGACAATGTATGTAAACTTGTGAATTTACCAAAATTAATAGAAAAAAATCCTTCCCTAATTTTGGTTTTCAGCTAATAGAAATAGTTTTGGTGATCCTAACTGACCTAAATAACAAATTTTAGTGTGATATAATGTCTGATGGTGAGGGGGAAAAGCTTGTCTTTTTATGTAGTATGTTTAAACATGTGGTTTCAACTGTATAAATATTCCTACTTCATGTAAACTGGATTTGAGACCTAAGGTCTTTAACTGTCAGTAAAGATTTGAAAAGTTGAAGGATTAAAAAAAAAAAAAACAACCCTGAACTTATAGGTAAAATCTCTCCCAGATGTGTTGAATTCATATATTTCTTGCTGATTGCTTTGTCTTGTAATTCTCTGCTTTAAAATCCCCCAATTTTTTCCCCCACTCCTCTACTTTTTCACAGCGAACGCCACAGATACTTTTCAAGAGGGTGGAGAAAGTGGCTCAAACTATTTAGCTTTTGCCTTAGTGCTGGCTTTCTTCTTTTTGGGCCTTAGCGGGGTGGTGGTCTGCCACGTGCTAAAGAAGAAGGGCTACCGGTTCACCACCTCCCAGGAAGACGAAGAGTATTATGATGATGTGTTTGAGGATGAGGACAAGCTGTCTAAGCAACAAGGTAAGAGCGACATTTATATTTACATCTTTTATGCACACAGCTTGTTTCGCTATGTAAACCAAACATAACAAAAAATGACTTTAGAGCTTAAAAATATTAATATGTCTCTGACTTCTAAAAGCATGTCAGTATCTTGTAGGTTTTAGATGTATCTCTGCTTCAACACACGAGTCAAACAACTGGGTAACTCGCAGGACTGTGTAGAACTTGACTGCACTGAGGTAACTCATTCATTTGCATTTGAGGCGTGTTGGACCAGGGACGCATCTAAAAGTTTTAGGGCACTGGACTTTTGTTTGAGGATGCCTGGTGTCGAGTAGCTCTCTTATTGTAGAAAGATCGTCTGACTTCTATCACTGAAATAATTTAAACGGGCACTGTGGTTCAGACACAATCATTTTGATTAGATCATAAAAAGCCATGCCCATTGTCTTCTCTGAGAAATGATTAAAACTAAGAAAAAAAATCAGTATTTTTTTCTAAAACGGCATTGGTGTAAAAGTAATAGTTTCTTGAAATAAAATCAGTGTTATTTCATGCACTTTGACTCGTTCCCCATTGTCTGCATCATTCCTGTCTGAGCTTACTTACGTTTTGAATCACTGATGTTTGAATATATATCAGGCTACTGAATTTCTGAAATGTATGTTGCTTTTGACATGAGTGGAGTTACTGACGTATTGTCTGACTATACAGGCAGAGTAAAGTGGCGAACAAATACAGGGCATCATAAGTGACGAGTAGTGGCACATGGTCTGAACGGCTTCAGGGTTTTTTTTTCTTCTTTATTTTCACTTTCTGTTTTTCTGTAATGCTTAATTGGCTTTGATGGCCTTCTTTGTTAAAAGTAGTTTATATGAATAATTACCAAAGAGATTTTAGAATATTCAGAAGCAGTTGCCCTGTGGGCTAAGTTAACATCCTATGATTCGTATTCGCAAAACTAAAAATAGTCATAATTCTTTAAATGCTTCACTGATTTTACTTTGGCATCCCTTGTCAGATTGCTGCATCATTGTGCTTTGTACCGCAACAAGTTGTGTTACATTCCCTATGACGCTTTTACAGTAAAAACCAGTTTGACGTTTATGTTATTGGTAACCCGAACAATGATGGTTGAGAATCAAATCTGTTGGCGGTTGCCTACAGAAAAAAAAAAAAAAAAAAACTCATAGAAAAACAAAAAACATTGTTCATTTGTATTGAACTATGGGGCAGATGAACAGCAAAGCTGAAAAAGATAAGGATGCCAATGAGCCTTGATGCTTCGTGCTGTGGTAGCACAGCAGCCTACACTAATCTTTTCCAGAAATGTGGAAAAACAGCAGCAACACCCAGCATCTGTCAGAGTAAATATAGTAAGCAACACAGTACTTTCTCCGAGAGTCTAAAATGTTCTTGATTACTGACAACCTCCTCTGTCTGAATACTAGTAGGACACACTGTCACACCATGCCATTTTGAGCTTTATTTAAACAATGGCAAAAAGACAGACCAAACAGAAAAAGGCCTGTAAGGTAATGACAGAAGAAGAGATGCACACATTTTTGTAGTTAGTTGGATGCATTTTCTCAAACTTATGTTCAGTCAAAGTCAATTGGCCAAAAGACCTTTTAAAATGTGAACATTAGTATTGACAGGTGTGGATGTTTAACTGACAACCCTTAGACACAAGTCAGTGGGTCCATGAGGACACCGGCATCCCCATGACAGAGACTGAAAAAGCCTAACCGAATCAATTGACAAAGTGTACCAAGACAAGATTCAGAACCAAAAACCAAGTTAAATGTGCAATGTGGGGCTAGTGAGAACAACTCAAAGATCTTAGTAGTAAGTGGATTTTAGTATAACCAGGAGCTTTAGCTCCAGGTTTTTACGGTTAGAGCCTTAAAGACCTTGAGCCAGACGTCTGGGCACTCCTACTACACATGAACAGACGAGCTGCATGTCCTCACATGAAAAATGGAAAAGCAGGTCAAGATGACCGGGAGTACAGAAACTTGACATGTTACTCTATAGCTTGTCTGAGTCTGCCATACCTCTTCCTGTCAGAATACTCCGAAAGTGTTGGAGAATCAACACTTTCTTGCATGGTGATTTATAGTGTTGTAGGTTTTATAATTTGAGGTTTCTACAAGATGAGATCCCAGAATAATAGACATGCTGCAGATATTTGCTTTAATTTTTTAAAATGTATGCCACTTGGAGACTTTTCCGTCTTGCTAAAATTATTATTTCTGAATCTTTTGAGATGTATTTCAATGACTTGCCAGATTCCTACGCTGCTAAAATCTTAAGGTCTTGGACTAATCTGTGGTTCTCACTTAAACAATCAAGAACTTACCAAACTACAGATATGAGGTTTAAACAGGGCAACGTTCCTTTAAAATTGCTGAGCAACTATGTTCTAAGTATGTTTGGGGTACACCCCTGTGGGATTTAAATTTTTAGATTAGAATAAATCTGTTTTCAAAAGATAAAAAAAAAAAAAAACTGATATAATAGATATAATTTATCTATTCTAAACAAGAGCTACATCTTATTTATAATACTTTTTTTCTACTATTAGTAAAATTGCTATAACATCTCAACATGTCTAAATATGCTGGAAAAGGTCTGAATGTATTTTTGGTTTTATACATTTTTTTCAGTGATTTCTTTTAACCATTTAAGTTCAAAGTACAATGAGACATTAAACTTCTTTAACTTAAAAAAATAAAGCTTGACAATTATTGTATTAAACTTGTGATACAGTTTACAAATGGGGGGCCTCTTAATAGCTGTTTTTCGTCATTTTGCCTTGTGCATTATTTTTATTTCTTACTGCCATCTATACTCTGTCTATTATGCCAAAACCTGTTGATCAATAAATGCATTCTTTCTAACAGTGACAGAAATAAAGAAAATTTCCGTTATTACTTCTGGTACAGTGCTGGAACAGTCATATATTCAATGTTTTTTACAAAGCATACTTATTAAGCAGTAAGATGGAATTTAATCAGGGTTATTCCTTTTGTCCTTCTTTACAAACTGGCTATTAGTTTAACTGCTGTTCTTGTTTTTTTTTCTTTTTTCTTCTCCTGCTTTTTGCACTGCATCTGGACACAAATGGTAATACACCAGTTCATGTTGAAGTTCAAAAAGTACTCGGTACAGAGTGTTTTTTTTCCTTCTTTTTTTTAACCTTAGTTTCCAAATGAGTTATAGCTTTTCTTGAATGAGGTTTTCTTTTCCACTTTCCAGTCATGTGGTGGAGACAAGCAGGGTTAGAAATGAAACAACAAGGTTCTCGATGCTTTGGTGTTTTCTCAACTACTCTCAAGCTTCAATTACATTTGTGAAACTGATGCAAGTTAGAGGTTCCACATGTAGATCATAATGAGATTTTATGTAAAATGTGAAGCCTGGTGGTGGTGAATCAGTTGCAAAGCTCTGTCAGGAACTTTGCAATTTTTTTATAGGATTTTTTTTTTTTTTTTAGCTGTGAGCGCTGTCTAAATTTAGTCTTTCTCCAATGTTGGAGGTATAAAAAAAAAAAAAAAAAGGTGTCTGTTTCTTTAAGGTACGAACCAGGAAGACTGTCGGCAGTTACATTACACATACTCCGACTCTCCCTTGGGAGTGTTCAGTGAGGTCGATGGATGGGAAAAAAACTCTCTACCGAACAGTGTTATCTGCCTCGATTTAAAAAGAAACGCAATCCGATGTACATCAGTAAACATAAACAAGCCTTTGCTTCCCGCTTAGTTCTAGAAAAGGAAAATAAACTAAAGTCAATACCTGGGTATATCTGGGCTTCATCACAGACGTGAGACAAGTGGTAAGAAGGAGTCAGTTTTGACACAACTCTGAGATCCTGTGCTGCTTCTTCTCACTGACCTATTTTCCTATTGTGAGCCTGTTGAGGGCATTTCCGTACAATGAAGCTCTGGATCATGTTAGCTGGACATAAAAATGTGTAAATGGTGTCTGTTCTGCTGTAGTTCCAGTGGGTTTCTCTCTGTATTCCTGGCATCTCTGTTGGAAAGCCCCACCATCTTCATGACATGTTGAAACAGACGTATATCTTTTGTCTTCAGCTGATCTTATCCCACAGTTTTGGTGCTTTTCTTCTGTTCCACCACATGCCTCGCCTGAAAACGCATCTTTTGCGAACAATGCAGATTCCTGGCAAGGATTATGTCACACCAGGAAATGCCTAGGAAATTGGTTATGATAATTCTGGAAAGTGAGAGGAAGTTTTCAAGAAAGGAATCCAGGAAATGCCAGTTGAGGAGAACTAATATTTAAAGACTGCCTCATCTGATCACTGACTCAATGCAGAAAATACACAAAATTTGTCATCTGTCTGATAGCATGATGACATTTACAGACACCATCAATATTTTTGTCTCCTACTTATATGTCCTTCCATAAAGTTATACAATATGTTTTATTGTTGAGGAAGCAATAAATTGAGGTGTACCACTGCATTTATAGGAGTGGAACTAGGCATGGACTGCTTTAGTTTCACAAGAACATTAGGTTATCAAAGTGTTTGCTCAAAAATTGATAACGCAATATAATATTGACTTTTATGGTTAGAATTATTTATTGCTGTTTTCTTTTTTCAAACATAGAAAACAGAGCATAGTATAAATGGAATGGGTTGTGACGGTCTTGAGCCAGTCAGTGAAAACTCTGATCTCTACAACACTTCCTCTGGCAGCCATTAACCATCCCATTCCTAATTTTTGTCAAAGCACACTGAACTGGTAATGAGCAAGAATGCCTACTGGTTGTAGCTATGGCTTCCTGATCTCTTTTTCAGATGGCTTCTTATATTTAATGTGAGTATGCAGAAACATAGAGCATCTTAAAAGAAACTTTAAGAGGATAGCATAAAATATTTCCTATATTTTTTTTTTCTTCCGCATTTAGATTGTAAAGACATCCTTTTTTCTTGTTGAGGATTTCCTTGGCATTGTCAGTGCTTGCTTTGTATTTCGAGAAGAACCAGTCTCACAGATGTCTCTGTATTTCACTCCACAACCTGTTTGAACATGTACATTTTAGAATGGATTAAATTGTCATTAGATTATGAAGGTTATAACTTAATATTCTGTCAAAACATTCTGTGTTAACCATGTGCTGCTATAACCTTGAGGACAAAACTAAAACAACAGAAAAGCATAGCTGTTTTTCCTCCTACAACTAAAATATATTCCCTTTTACAGTTATTAGATTTTAAATACTATTTTGGTCTCTGCATTGTAACACAATTATGACGCACTACTATAAGTGGGCTAATTATTCAGGCTTCATAATTGGATAGAAAACAGAAAGCTGATGAGAGCTACAAATCTCACCACCTTAATCTTTTTCCATCATGATTTATCATGTTTATAATTTTATGCATCTTAGTTTTTTTTTCTGGGACATGAAGGAAAAGCACAGGTATCTTCAGCCATCTCACTTTCCATGTGCAGCAACAAGTGGAAAAGAGGAAGCGTGTATCATTCTATGCTCCAAGCAGCTGAGAAAACCTCCAGGACTTTTTTCTGGGACCCTATTAAAAGTACTTGGAACTATAACAAAAAAAAAAGTGAAACCTTATTATACACCATAATACCAGAAACTGAGACGTTGATATTGGTGAAAGCAGTGCTGATCAGACAAATTTCAGGAAGTAATGTTGGTTTATAATGTTGACATATTCACTTACTCTCTCTCTTCTCTCCACTTTTGGCTGGGATGTTTTTTGTGACTTTTTATTATATATTAGCTGTTTTTATTTCAAGTCTTTTTAACATATAATCAGATACTCAAATCTCTAATTTTCTCTTTACATGTTCTGCTAGAGCGGCGTGACACCATGACTGAAAATGAGGACACGGTTGGAAATATTATCCAATGCATCATGAAAAATGAAGGTATGCGTCTTCTTCCTCCTCTTGACACTAAATAGGAAATACGAAAAATGTCACCTTTACTGAGCGTTTGCTTTACAGACATGTAGCTATGGGTTCAGACAACCTGGCAGCAGGCAGCCTAACTAATCCTGTTTTCATTTTTTCTTTTTTCTTATGAAAATTTATACCAGGGACAACTGCACAGCTTTTCCATAACAGAGTTGAGTAAACTCCTGTCTTTTTCAGTAACACAAGTACTTATGCTTTTCTTCATCCTGTTGTATTGAAATCCAATGCCAACAGGAAGTGAGCGATTACAAATTCAGTTCCCTGAAACTCGGAAGAATTTTTATGCTTTATTTTTTTTAAGTGAATCAGTTTGTTTTATAAGAATTGTTCAGGATGCCAATACTTTGCATGATGCTTCCTGTCAATCAATCCAGGGGGTTTGTCAGAAACTGACCCACTCAGAGCATAGTATAAATGGAATGGGTTTTGACGGTCTTGAGTCAGTTGCATTGGTTGCATTTTGTCCCGAAGTGAACTCCTCTTACCTGGAGGAACTTAACTTCTGACAAAGTTGTCTGACTTATCAGTACAAGCACACAGCGGTCAAATAATAAGGGAAAAAATGTTTTAATGTGTCAGTGGGGAAGATTAATTTAAGACATACTTTACCCAGAGTATTCAGAGGGCAGAGCAAATGTATTACTTTTTCAAACACATAGCATTTAACAGATGGATAATCTTTGTAAGAAGCTGATTATAACAGTGTTTGAAGATACAGCTATTATATGTTTGTCTGTATCAATATTTTTGTCATCACATCCTGTGATTAAATCAGAGAACAAAGCATCAAGCTGGGTCCAAAACAATAAATGTGTGCTGTGACTGGATACAAAATGGGTACTGTTTCTTTGTAAGTCAGTATTCATCACAGCCTGACAAATGTTTCAAAACTGTTTTTTATTTTTGGAACAAAATGACAAATTTTCCTTCTATTACCTGTAGAAAATAGAAATATTAAAGTATTAGTGTCCCAACAAGATCTTGAGCTCATCTATACGCGTTTCTTTAGTTGATTGCCGCAATAGTCTCCTCACAGATCTGCCTAAAACCCAGAATACTGCTGCTCGTGTTCTCACTGAACCCAGGAAGATGGAGCACATTACCCTAAAGTCCTTATACTGGGTCCCTTATGTACTTTTGCTTAGTATCAAAATATATTCAAGACCTGTTATTATATCAACTTTCTAGACCACTTGCATCTTCTGGCTCAAGTCTACTCTGCATTATTTGATAAATAAAGTCATAAACTGTTGCCTGGTTTTCAACCTGTTTTAAAGATGCTTAAAATTATTTTTTATTTTCCTTTTAAAATGTACTATAAAATAAATTGCCCTGAACTTTGAACTTTTCTCTGTCTCAGTGACTAACATAACACATGACACAAAAAAGGCGTTATTGTCTCCTCTTTTAGTAGTCCCGAGTTTTACGTTGACTTTAGTGGTTTCACAAAATGACTCATCAGGTCCACGAGTGCTGGACTCCTTTAACGGTGACTCATTGTGTCATTGTTCACATTCGGGGAATCGGGTTTCCTTGGACTCTTTGACATCTTTGCATATGAATACATGGACTATTTAAAAAAAACTCACACACTCCAAGTCTTTTTTAAAATTATTATTAAAGGAAGTGGAAAGCTGAATAGTCCTTGACACTATTTATATCCACAACACATTTTTGAAAAGGAACAACCTGGAATATACGGCATTCTGTGGTATCCAAATCAAAGGGAAATGCTGCCCTCTACAGGCGATTCACACACACAGCAGGCTTTAACATTGAACTCCTTGCTTTAGTGCAAATATGTGAGTGAGCCACCATAGCAATCAATGGTCTCTGAAGTTTATAAAACAGATGTTCCACCTATTCCAGGATGAGTTGCTCTTCTGTTTCTAGCTGCCTTTTTCTCTACCACACATTGATTCATTAGTGCGAGGCATCAATTTCGGAGATTTCTTAGTTTATGTATAGGAGAATACATAATGCCTCCTTATAGGTTTCATTTTTTTTCTTTCTTTTGTTTGTGTTTCAGGCCATGAAGTGGGTTTTAATATCAGACAAATCAAATTATTTATGTATTATCAAAACAACCTCGCTCTATTTAAAAAGTAATTGCGCCTTATAACTAATATCTTACTGCAGTTAAACATTTGAGAAAAGCAGTGAGTTATTAACGGCATGTTTAACATCACATCTAAATTGGATTCAAATGTGGGCTTGAATCCACTCTGAAACCTGTTAAAATGTTAATGTGTTGGGGGCCAATCGGAGCGTGCTTGAACTTAAGATCTAATGACCAGACATTTTCCGTCACTTTCCAGTAGAAGGTAGATTTCATGGTTCCATCAGTTGCGATACGTCGTCCAGGTCCTGAAGCAGCAAACAGACCATCACTCCACCTCCATGTTTGACTGTAGCATGTTCCCTTGCTGTTCATTTTATTCCTGATATTTTTTTTTCCTCACCTTGATAAGTTATACTTTGTATATAACAAAATTGTAATAAATGCACAAGGACAATTTTTATTTTAAGTGCTTTCCCACCGAGTTTTACCTTTTTTTGTCTGTTTCATGATACAATTCACAAATAAAAAGAATTTTTCTGTTTCTTTCAAAGGCCCCAAAGTGACCTTAAATTGTACTTTTATGCTACTACAACTACCCCTCCCACCACTGACTAACCAAACAAAACAGCCCCTGGTAGTTTTATGACAGGAGGATGGCTCACAGAGAAAACAAAGGCCAGCACTTTGAGTCAGACATCACTACAGATTTTCATAAATTCTTACCAAGTCATATCTTATTTTTCCAATCTCTTTTTAAGCTTTTGGTTCAATGATGATGTTGCATGCTTATGATAAATGTGGCGTAAACATCATGGCCTGGCAGGTAGAAATGTGTGCCTAGGGCCAAGATGTGTAAATCTAAATCTGAGTTGTCAGCTCTACCAGTAAGAACTTGATTTTTGGTCTGAATTGTGTGAAATTGAAATGTTATTTTCCAGAGCTAATTTTTCTGCTTTCCACAGAAGTCAAGGTTTTTACAGCAGTTATTGCATGACTGCCATTTTCTGTTTTAATGCATTTACTTTGAAGAAGCCATTGAAGATACTGTACATTGTACATGCTGCTGCATGTGTTTCTATGTGTTTTCTAATGACTGTCTGTGTTCCTTCTTAGCAAATTCTGATGCTCTGAACGCCATGGTTACCCACACCAGTGTTGATTCAGATATGTAAGTATATCATGTTTACAAAAAAATCCTTCAAGTCCTAAAGGCTGAGGTTTCTTGCTTTAAATGGATTCCTCCACCAGGTGGCACTACATGCCTCCTTTTAAACCTTTCTAAGTCAACCATCACATTTATGAGCAGCACAAGAATTCTCAAAGTAATCGGGCCATATTTATTTTCTTGATTCTTTTCCAGATTGGCAGAGTTTGATAGAGGCCAAGTAGCCTGAGAATATTCCCAAAATGCAGTAGTGTCCCACAGCAGTGCGTTGTGGGATTATTAAACCATGCATGCAGCTGTTCTGGCTGTGTTTCCAGCCAGAATGCATTGTGGGCCTGGGAATTTAAATAGATAAAAAGGAGAACAAAATTAACATTTTAAAGGGCCTTAAACATCTGCAGCATCCATTACTTTAGACATAGTGGATTAATGAAATGCTGATTTAATTGGGAGTGTTTGCATGATTATTTTTTGTGTATTATCAATTCAAAGTAGCAGATTTTTTATTTATTTATTTTACTAAGAAATCACAGTTAAATGTTTATCTACATGGATTTGTATTTGTATTTTACTTCCTTCAGATTATTATAATTAAACTATCCAATGTTCATGCTCTGATCCAGACCGTAATGGGGGTCATTTTGACATTGGCATTTTAAATAAAAGGCTTTCTGCTTGTTAGTACAAGATGATCCTTAATTATAAGAAGAGGAGCTGATGGAAGGAAATGACTCGGATCAAACATTTTTTGGTCGTCTTCTTGAATCTGTAAATGCTAACAAGAGACGAAGGGAAATGAGAAAATCGACACACTGGAAGAAGAGATGATGGTGGTGACAGTAGAAGCTGTAAATCAAATTGGGGAAGTATAGACCCCCTTCCTCCCCCCATCTGTCCTCTGCTTTTATCTTCCTTTTATATTGTTGTAGAGGAAACCTGTTTTGGAGGAGAAAGTCTTTCTTTGATTTGGTGAATAAATGGCAGGAGCATTAGCCCTGCAAAAGTCTTATTTATTCATCACTCTTTTCTCCGCCAAGCTACTTTCATGGGTTTTGCCTTCTTCAGTTCTCCCTCCAGATATCTTGATTCACATATTTCCAGTCCTTGTTCTCCCATTCACTTGCTTCCTACTGTCCAAATTGCTCTCTGTAGTGGCCCCTTCCTTCACTGGCAGTTACAATCCATATCTTTCTGTTTCTCTCTGCCAGGTTGGGCAGCCTTCCAACGGATCACTTAGAGATGGAGGGTAGGGGAAGAAAGGGTTTTGGTTTGGGTTGATTTATAGGATACACAGGCGTAGGGTGACGGAGAGAAAAACAGAGACTTGGAAGAAGAGGAAAAGAGGGGTAGAGGGAAACCACGAGCAGGAGAGTGACTGTAGTGCGGCCAGGCTGTGCTATCTTCCTTCCCATATTTGCTTCTTAACTTTCCTTCACCAGCTGCCTGCATCCGTCAGTCTCCATCAGCTTTCACCTCGTCATATTATTTTTTTCTCTCCTGTGGAGGTGTACATCCTAACTATACACCTGCACAAAAAATATTTTCTCTAGTTTTGCACAAAAATTCTGTTTTTGTACAGAATTGTAGGCAGACCTATAGAATGGAGGTATGTCCTTCAGTAAACTAAAATCCTTCATTTTAGTTTAAAGAAAAATTTTCTATTTAAAACAGATATCAGCTGCTTTGATCCGCAATCCAGTTTATCTCTGCCTTCTTTATCTATTACTGAGATTATTGCCTCCTCCAGCTCGGTGATGGTTGAGCATTTTCAGACTCCGTTTTAGTGAAAGGAGGAGCTCTTCCAAGCGGCTAGATGAGAGGGACAGGCAAACCACGCTCCTTCATGTCTTTCGTTGCTTCTGCCGCTGTCTGGTAAAACCGAGTTTCCCGCTCATAAAACACTCGTTTAGTGGGGAATGGAGCCCGGAAGCGAATCTTTCTTTACGTTTCTGCAGCACTTTGGGGGATAATCAAAATATGTCAATTTGCTGTGTAGAAGCATGTCTTTCTTCCCCCATGCTTTTTGTAAAACCTCTTCCTTGGTTCTGCTTTGGAGAAATTTAACAATGGATCATGGCCTGTTGTTTCTGTCCAGTGCTAGTGGCAAAGCCAGTGCTCAGCGTGCCCAATTCCATATTTGGTTCGATCTCCAGGGTGCCTTTAATTAATTTATCCACAAAATCTCTCATCGATGAACCTTCCACTCCCTCTGACACATTGTATATCCAGACGTTTTCTCTTCGTGATCTCCCTTCCTCGTCAAACAGATTCACTTGTTGTTGGCTTTCCCCTTCGGCCATCTTCCGAATATCTGCTCCATGTTCTGTCCTCAGGTAAACAATAAAATCCCAGAAAATTGGATGTTATCCTGCTAGCACTTAGCAACAACTCATAGGCAGAAGTGAGAGCGCTGCCCAACACAAATAATGAGCGGGCCGGATTACACTGCACTAAATAATAAAACATAATTTACCAACACCTCGGGGCAGATACATTTTCCTCAAGGAATTTTAATAATTGAGGCAACTGAATCATTCGAGAAATCGTTACATCCCTAAATAATTCTGCAAGAATTTTCACAAATCCGGGTGAAAATTCCTATTTGGGTAACAGAAAACCAAATCATGACTTAAAAAAAAAAAAAGCACTTGTTTTTTTGTTTTTACTCTGGTTATAATGGTCTTTAATGTCCATTGAACCATTTAAAGTTTGTCAAAAACAGAACAAATCTACTGGATGGCGAATGTCTTGTTTTTTTCCTCCCCCCTAGAGTGTTGCACTCGCAGGTACTTCATGAAACATATCAGCAAACTGCTACCTGTGGAGACATTGAGCATATTTTACAAGTTCCCAATAAAATCAAAGGCAGCCTGTTTTTAGAAAGACTTCAAGTGCCAAAAAATGACTTTTAGCATTTAACAAGATTTCAACTTCTGAGCTGTATACAGGTTTTTATTTTGTCAGTAAATGTCTGTTATACTAAAGCTAGTAGACAAAATCTAAAGTCTGTCCTGGTTTCTGAGTGTTTATTTTCCTTAAAAATATTTGAAAAGAAGTCTTGAGTTTGTTGAATTTATTCCAAAATGTTATGATGTTTTCTCCTCATATGAATGGCATTAATTGGGCAGAAATTCTCAATTTTTATGACTGAAAGTGGGACACGTGAATGTGGCAAAGTGAGATTAAAAGAAGCAAATTCTTCTTAAAATAAAAAAAAAAAGTTTTATCAATGTTGATTTTAAATTGGTTGATTTGCGGAGAACTGTAGGTTTGAAGTTCTTAAGTTTTTAGGGATACCTATTGAGGGCATACTTTTGACTTGTAAAAAGTTGTATTATATAACTGGGTATTTGCATAAAACAATCTGTCCCTGGCCCTTTATGTTTTTGCAATTTAAAAAAAAGCTAATAAACCTAATTCATCAACCCATCAACCAAATCCTGCTAAGCATGTTCGCCTCCTTTTTCCCCAGCCCTTCAGTGTTGGGTTGTTTGTCTTTCAGTGAAAGGGAAGTGGGCTCAAAATAATCAAGTCTCCGCATTAGTAGCAAACCATCTCCGCTTTGCTTATTTCCATCAGGCTGCTGCTGCTGTGTTTCTGCCACAGTCGTGTGCAAACGCTGCTCTCCAGGGTCACAAAAGACAACAACATGTAGGAGAACAGAAAGATGAGAAACACGGCCTTAATTAGCTCCTCTTTCTGGAATCCAGAGATAAATTTTAAATTGAAAGGGGAAAAAATTGAAGAGAAAAAAACAAACTACAAAAACAACACATGTCGTGATACAGTTTTTCTGCTGCAAAGAAAAACTTGCCTCTTTTTTGCGCCTTATAGAAAATCAATGAGGGCTGGTTCACAGGGAGCTTGTCAGTAATTGCTTAGAGGTATGAAATATTAATGTGTCATTCAGTGGCGATGGGTTTTAATAGAGGAAGCGCCGCTCTACTGAATAAGCTTTAATTGTCTCTGTAAGACTAATTGAAAGCAAGTTGTTGGTTAGTTTGGGGAAATTTCTCAAAGCTGCCTGTGTCGGTGTTTTCCTTTCATGAAGCCTTTTCAGTATCTGTACTGAAAATGGAGCTTTTAAAATTGATCTTTTTTAATAATTATTGTTCTGGGGGTGGCTGGACTAAAGCGACACCACTGAAGGGTTTGAAATGCCGTGCTGGTCACCGTGTCAAATGTATTTGCTTTATTGTGCATTGGTCCATGTAAGATGTCTAAAATGACAATATTCTGACTATTCATGTATGAATTAAAATAGCAACCGCTGCATGTCCTCATCTTTCTCCTGGTGCTCTTGAATGCATCACTCCTCCTCTCCCCGCTCTGTGCCGGTTGTTTACCAGGTGAGGAAACCTTTAGAAACGTAAACGGTTCACGGAGAGTTTTCAATGTCGGACGTTTGACTAATAGACAGGAAAGCGGCACTGAATCAAAGAGAGGCGATAAGGAAGAGGCGTTTAAACAAATGGGATTTTCACTGCAACATAAATCATGGACCGTGATAAATTTCCGAAGTACCGGGATGTTAGTTTAGTTTGAAGTATGTGCATTTCCTTTATAAATCCTTACTGTCTGTTTTTCAGTGCAGTGTCTCCACCGCTCACCCCCGCATCACCGGTGTCGCCTGCAGCAGCAGCCAAGCTCCCGTTCGATCAGCAGCCTACCGTCGCCGTCGAGAGCAAAGGGCTGCCGATGAGAAGGTTCTCGCAACGAAAGTCGTTGAGGCGCCGTCCTAGTCAAGTCACGGTCCTCTCTGTGGGCAGGTGGGTAAACTCCTAAACTCGTAAAAGAACTTTAGTGATGGATTTTCTTGAAACATAAAACTACCCATTTGCCTTTATCTAAAATCAGAATATTGCACATTTTGATTAATATGAATACATATACAAAAACTGCATTTTTTTCTGTGGTGTACAAGTGAAAATAAATGATGGGTTTTCAACATTTTTACTTATGAAAATTGAACATAACTGAAGTTCTGGTGTACCTCTTGACCTTGATGTGGAGTGGTCAGAAACAGGTTGCGTACGTTTTAATAACACATGTAAATTTGGTGATGAACCATCTTTTTCCAATTATCTTTGACAGAAGTGTAACGTTACTTATTGGCTTTGTAAGAACTGACGATTGATTCGGCTTCTTTCTCTAATAGATGGAAGTCGTTGTGACTACAGAGTTTATCATGCATAGTGTTGATTCCAGCCTCATTTTCTGCGGATTCTCGGTAGCATCGCATTACTAACACGTCACAAAATCTACAGGAAGTCTGTTTTGGGTTGTTTTGACTCTTTTAATCAATTCGTTCTTAAACGTCAAGAAACTGTACTCTTTGAAAGCCTTTCGTGTGAAGTGAGTGCTGAAGCTGGGTTCTAATGACATTCTCATTCAGGCCACAAACTGTAAATCTTGGCAAATGTTAACGTTCTTTTCTTCTTCAGGTTTCGTGTGACGAAGTGTGACAGATCAGGAAGGGAATTAACCCCTTGGGACTCTGAAGCCAGCTTCCAGTCGGCGACAGACACCCCCCACCCCAGCTTTGCGTTGGCGGAGCCCCTAAAGGTGGGTTCCCTTGAAAACTTTAACCGTCTGTCAAACTCTGTTGTGCTTCTCTTCTTCCAGTATCATGTGGATATGTTACAAATCTATAAATAGAGGAGGGGGGGGGACCTACTATTGAATACTTTTTAGCAAAATAACTGATGCTGGGCTCTAACGGATCATACTTTTTCTGGAAAGAAATTATATTCATAAGTTGATCAGGGCGTTTTAATTGGTTCTCCATTACTTCCTGTTAACCTGTTCTTCAAAATAGGAGAGGCAAAAGATCATACCAATTGTTAAACTTGGCCTCAACTACAGTCACAACAATAACTGAAAAGTTTAAATCATACTTGCAAGCAAGGTGTGATATGGATCCATGTTTATCTGCTCTTCATACGCCATAGGAAGGAAGGTGAAGAAGGTGCAAATCTTGAGATTACCATGTCTCTATAACAACCACATTAAGGTTTTTGGACACAAAATCTGGGTTTTGTGAGGAAAAAGAATTGGTGCCAAATGAATTAAGAGAAGATGGCAGGATACGTCTGGAGCATAGAGCTGTTCTGGAGATTTTTCTGATAGCTTAATTATGATTATTTATCTGTGATAGAAACACTTGCAGAATAACCCCCAGAAATTCAGCTTTTATGTTGCAAAGTGACATCTGAGGTGGAAATGTTTAGCTCTACCCACAGTAATGGATGCTGCGTGAAATGTATAAAATAAATTTTGCATTAATTTCCTTCATTGGCTGAAGAGTGGCTAGTTTTGACTATGCCTTTTTGAAGAGTGGCGTTGTGCTCCCCGATGTAAACCAGTAATCAAGTTTCCCCAACACTCCGATCAACCAATAATTTTGTGAGAACAATTAAAGGTTGAATTTTTCTACATGTTTCAGTTTGAGGATGTGCTGCTGCAGTAAATTTAGGGGATTTTTACTTCTCCTCTCTCTGTTTGTAAATGTGGAGGGAACCATGTCACACCTGAACTGTGTCAGGTGTGACATGGTTCAGATATGTAAAACGTCTGCTCTGTTGAGCAGGACCTCAGTGTTTGTTTCTGTTCTTTAGTTTAATCCGGACGCTGAGAGCGTCTAATCTGAGAGGCACCGTCTGAGGATTTAGAACAACCTGATTTAGATCCATCAGACTGAATCAACACCTTAGCCAAATTTGTTTTAGTGGGGGGGAAACGTTGTGCTCACTAACATCCGTGTTTGCTCAGTTCCGTACCGTAAGCCCTGCTGTTAACTTTTAGCTCTGTCATGCTGATGCTGTAGGAAAAAAGGAAAAATTCCCAGGATGAGAAATAAAACCTGCACAGTGACAGTAATGATAAAAAAAGAAAATAATTTTGTTCTTTTCTGTTTTTCTGACAGGAAGAGTCGGGAGAGTTCGAGGAGGAGGAGAGATAGGAGTTCAGGTAAATTCATTTTTTTTTTTTTTTTCTTGAGCATATTTTTAGTATGTTAATGTGTCACAACTTTCCCTCCTAGTTTTCCACATGGAGAGCAGGACCAATATCTCGGCACTTTAGGTTATTTTATTCTTCATACTTCAGAGGGACGAATAGATCCAGAAGGGTTCTTGTCCTATCATTGCTCCACCAGTAGTGGAATCTGCTGCTGACAACCTGCTGGACAAAAGAGGAAGAGAATTTGCATGTTTTCTTCCTTCCTGGAGTAGAGGTCCTGCAGTGCCTGGCTCAGAGGTGGGACAGCAGCCTGATGCTATGAGCTGAGTCTGAACCTGGGCTTTCGGTAGCTAAGACAACACACCAAAGTGCTCCGTGACGGATGTATATATTTATGTTTTTATATGTAGAATAATAAAATATAGCATCGTTGTGTGTTATGTCAATTTAAATGATAAAAGACACCGAGAAGCAGGCAGAGACGGAGCTCTTGTTCTGAAACAGGAAGCTGGAGCAAACTGATGCAGCACAAGGAGATCCACCAGGTCAGCGCCACCGGATACGTCGTCTCCTGTAAAACCGTTACATGAACTCAAAGTGCTTTTTACCATCTTTCATCAAGGTTTTACAGTTTTTCTTTTTTTAAATATAATTATTGTTTTTTTTGTGTGTTCTGTCTTGTCTCAATAAAGAACTGTCAAACTAGAGAAAAATTACAATTCCTACAAAAATGCAGTGTGAACGCCACAAGCTGAATATTCTTAGTGTATATGGCAGATGCATTTGAAGTCGACTGCAGAAATATAGGAAATGGGCAGAGGCAACAGAATTAAGCAAAAAGCCTGCAAAATGCTACTAGAAAAACTGTACAATGAAAACATCCATTTAATGCAAAAATCCCACCTAGAATATTAAAAAACTGAGTAGAACAGTTTACAGATCTACACTAAGGTCACAACCAGTTCTAAGCTAAAATTGGCTAGAGAGGTAAAGCTAGTTGAAATACAAATGGCCCCTACGTTAGGACTAGCATCTTGACCTAGAGTAACATATTCCATGCAGTATGGGAAAAAAACCCCAATAAATGTAATGAGCAGAAATGGTCTGCACTATTCTTTCAGAATAATTATTTTTAGCTTTAGCGCAGAGTAGCATGTATGTTGAAATTAGCTAAAGCTTATAGATTATGACTGTGGAGCACTACCATGTTTCATAACATTGCATTGTTCCGTCTAGTGTGATGGCAGCAATGTCTAACAAAAGCCAATGTTAGATAAATGCTATCATTAGCATGTTCTCTTAAGATTGACTACCAAAAGAACCATCACTACAATATTGACAATGTGCTCCTAGCATGGAAACCATAGCTTGTAAGCTAACATGCTATTTCTACCTGAACAGGTAATTGTTAGTCTGGCCAACATTAATTCACTATTCAGTTAAGACATTTGCTGTTGGGTAAAGTAGCTTAAAAGCAAGTGTTGCAAGTCTATAACCGTCGGTAGTGTCTTAACTAGCAACTTTCAAAATGCTAGAATTAAGCCTTCATATACAAATTGACTAAAATGCTAATTTAATATCAGGGTTACCTTTACTGGGACAGTCTTTCTTTGACCTTTGACCCAGAGATCTCCGGCCTTCCAACAAAGTCATTTTTTATAAATCTGCCTTTTCCTGATGAAAAATTCATTTGTTTTTAAAAGTGCAATACACTTTGTCTAAAGTATTGTCTCATATACAATTAGGGTTGGAAGGAGGGTCAAAATTAGGGTTTTAAGGAATCATCACTCCATCATAAAAAAATTAAAGATGCAGAAATAAATCTTGAAAAGCCAACATAGATCTGAAATTGAGTGGACGTGATGTTCTGACAGGAACTGCAAGTGTGTTTAGTAGCGATTATTAGTCACCAGAGAAGATCTATTTGTGGTCCATAAAAGTAAAATAAAAACTTTTTTCCACCTCTAACTGTGATAAGAAACCATCTGAGTCATAATTTAAGAAGTGAGTCATAACTCAGACTCCCGTGTTCTTGCGTATTTCTCTCTGCAAATGTCACTTCACTTTGCCTCGTGTTTAACGCACACATTCTCATCCGTCTTAAAGCTGCGGATAAAGAAGAGAAGCAAACGACGTTCCTAAGATCTGTGTCCGTTCACCTGCAGGCTACCTTTTTCCCTCTGATCCGACGGAGCCATCCGTCTTCATTTTCCATTCCGTCTCATTTCACCCTCCACCTTCTCCACCCTCGGAGGGACTCCTCTCTTCCCCGCTCTGCTTCGCGCTCTAATGAAAAGATGATTTGTCTTGCTCATCTCGAGTAAGCCGACCTTCGGCTCTCGACCATGTTATTTCCAGATAATAGAGACGAGGTGTGTTTGGAGCACAAGACGGAGGATTAACAAGCCTTGACCTTTTTTTTTTTTGCCCCCCCTTCTTTTGTTTTTCTTGTTCCGTCTCCGTTGACCTTCTCGGTGAAGGACGCGGGCTTCGAGACAGAAGCCTGAATAGAGTGAGGAGAAAGCGGTCAATTTGGATGGTCACTCCACTAAATTATTAACAACGCGGAGGACTGACTTTCATGGCGGTTGACGAGGACGTTTCTTTTTAGTCAAAAAGGTCACAGGAGGTGACTCAAAGGTTGGTCGCCGGGTGGTGGAAGCTGTGGTAAAGCTGCCGGACGACAGCGTGGAACATGAGGAAGGCAGCAGAGGAGGCGGCGGCAAATATTGACTGCTGGTACACGCGCGTGTTTACTTTAGCTCGCAGCGGGACATGGAACCGAAGGGCGTCCACCTCTCCTGGGTCCGGCCTGTGAAACCACAGCGGAACAAATCCCTCCATCAGGCTTATAAAAGTGTGCGGGTCCAGCTCTGATCTGTCTTCTGCAGGACTTCACAGGCTGTAAATTTATCTCAGGCGCTGAATTATTCAGGCCACAGGTTCCCATGGTGGCTGGTTGGACGGAGGACTGGAGTCCAGAGAGGAACAGTCCAAGCACCTATTGTCTTCCTTCCACCTTATGTTGTTTCATCCTTCCATCTTTTCTTTCAACCATCAGTCCTTTCCTTCATTCTTCCTTCCTTTCATGTTGCCATCCTTCCTTTCCTCCTCAATGTTTCTTCCTTTCATCCTGAGCGACTCCTGCATTCACACCGAGTTCTCTGGTTGTCTGAGTTTGGAAAAGTTTTCTATTTTGCTTTTTCATGAATGCGCAGGAACCCCGTCTGACTCGAAGCGACGCTCTCTCTTCTGTGACGGGAATTTAGCAAAACGGAGAGGAAGCCGATTGACCTCTGACCCAAAGCAGATCCGTGACCTTCTGGAGCGACTCACCCTTCCTCCCCCTCCCTCCCTCCCTCCGAGTCCTCTTCACCCAAAACTGCCCTCCGGTCATTCGTGGGAAGGCGGGGCGGCCGCTGTTTCGACCAGCAACAACAACCTTCACCTGGATGTCGCAACGGCAAACATTACGTGGAATAAATATCCTGTTAGGAGGAAAAAAAACCCTAATGCGGTTTCCAGGGAGACGGCCTAATCGTTAACCACGGTCAAACATTAGCCCGTCTCTGAAGATGTCGGTTCCGCTCCAACGACAGGAGGTCTATTTGGAGCCCTACCTTGAGGTGTTTAAACAGTGAGCGAGTCCATTCATGATAACAGATGAAACAAATGTAACAGCATTACGTTCAGGTTTTCTCTCACTGACTCCAGCTTGAATTGGCTTCAGTTGATTTCTTTTTCTCTTTTGCGTATTTAAAGGCAGAAGACGTTTGTCGTCCGTGACATCCGTCGCAGTTTACGCCAACCAGGGCGAAGGCGACCCTCATGGAGACGCCACGTTTAAGTCGACTGACTAACCTGCCTGTTCCTCTGAGGGCCAGTGGAAGTGTGTCTCTCTGCAGCAATTAAGGGTGACATCATTAACGTCAACAGAGCTCTGAGAAAAACAAACACGTTAATGGAGCACACACACACACACACACACACACACACACACACACACACACACACACACACACACACACACACACACCTCAGGGACTCTGCAACCAGCTGCCTAATGGACCCGATAAAAACAACATGAAGGAATCCGACATGCAAAGCTCCTCATTTGCTCTCGTGTCATCCGTCCACAGCAGGGTCGGCTCAAAAGGAGCCTGTCGCAAGGCGCTGGAAAGTTGAACGATGCTGAAATGTGTCATGGAAAAAGTACAGCAGATGGGAATGTGGGACTAATGAAACAGGCTGACAGGCCTCTGTGACGTCAAACGAAACAACTGCATCTTGAGGATGTTATTGATGATCACTTATTGTTTTGCTGTTCATGATAGACGTCGTTTCTTTTGAGAACGCTCGCGTGAATCTGGTCGAGCTTTTATTTTTCTCCGCACTATACTGTGTATAATTAAATATTCAAATATTCAGGGCACCATGAGAAGAAGTCTCTGTGCACAAGGAACAAAGTCTTTACAAAGTCAAATGACATTACTGAAGAAAGCGCAAAATCGGAGCACAGATTATTAAAACATGAATCAAAGGAAAGCATCTAAATTTGGCCGTAAACCAACGAACAGCAGCAATCTCAACGTTCCCACTTGAAACCAGCCCAAGAGGAGAGGGAGCGTTTCACTGGATTTGCCTCAGAGTGAAGTATTTTTGTTTTTTTAAAACAGTGGCCTGGCTAATTAATTACTTTTGCCATAAAATATTCACTGACTGTCCGTCCATCCTCCCAAATCCAAATTTCCCCCCCATTTGCTCTGCGGCGTCCCAATTCACTGCCGGGCCGGAACCGATTCATCTCCTTCCCTGATGTTACTTTGGTGATGGTTCAGTCGCAGTCATGCTCCTTCGGTGTCTCCTTATTGGCTGCTAGTTGCTTCATGCTTCATGTACTGATTTTACCTTTGCTGCTGTGAATTTGCATGCGAGTTTCGACCTTTGAACTACCATGAGGACGAGCACGACGGTTGTTCCAGTGCCATGATTTCTCAGCCTTGCCTTCTGCAAGGTGGTAGGTTTTCCTTAAACCCCCTAAAATCTGTTCAAAAAGCGTCAAGCAGAATTAAGTTTTAGCTCTTAAGTGGGTTTCTTTCTTTCTGTGCTGCGGGTGGAGATAGTAGTGCTGATCTGTGAATGTTTTTATTTATTTATTTTTTGTCAGTTTGAGGCACCAGAACAATCACTGCAAAGTAAAGGTTTTGAAGTGGCCTAGTCAAAGTCCGGCCTTAAGTCCAACCGAAGTGTGGGGGCATTGGATAAAATAGAGCATCATCTCCAACAGGAAAAATCTCCAATGTGACTAAATAATAATAATAATAATAAATAATAAATTGCATATATTTGTATAAAAAGTTGTATAAAACTGTATATTTTTTCCCATTAAAATACAATGTTGTATTTTGCATTTACTCAGGTTATTTTTGTTCAATGTTAAAATTGATTTAATCTTAAACCATTTTTTGAAGAAGAAATCTGTTAGGGGACAAAACGCTCTTTAGACACTAAGTAATGAGCAGCAGCTTCGATTTATTGCTAAAATACATTAAAAAAAACGACGACAAAACAACCAAAAACGCCACCTCTGTAGTCACAGCGCTCCCAGTCGTTTTCCATCAGAGCTCGGGATAAACCGCGGCTGCGTTCACACACACACACGTTCAGAATCTGTCTGTGTGTGTGTGTATGTGTGAGTGTGTGTCTGTGAGAGAGAGAATGCTATATATGACAGCTTTCATGTGACTTTGCTGTGACGCTTCAAATTCAAAGTTGAGGCAAACATCTTCAGGGATCCAACGGTTTGTTTGTGGAGTAAATAGGAAAAAGATGCAGCTTCCAGAAAGAAGCCGAAAAAGGAAGTTTTGTCGTGAAAAGATAATTGAAGGTTTATAGTTTAACAATACAGCCGGGTGGTTAAAATGATCTGCAATACAAATAAAAAAAAAGTGGAATTTCAAACTCTTTTTATTAACATAAAAAAAGAGTTAAAAATGGAGAATCTCGTGAGAAGAGGAAGACTGATGAAGATAAAAAAAAATAAAAAGAAGTTGGTTGCATGAATAAATAAAAAGAAAGAAAGCTATTCTGGCGTATCATCTGTTTCCATCTGAGACAGCCGCAGATAGCCTCATGCTCTCTCAATGTGAGCAAGTTGAAAGTCAGCAGATCTCCGTTCTCGTCGTTATCGTTATTCCAGGCGACTGTGGAAGTCACCATGGCTCGCTGCGTGCCGCAAAGCCCCAAAGGTGTTCATTAGCCAGGCTCCCGGGGGCCACGGATGACGCCTGCTGAGGCCCTAACTGCTGCAACAGCGAAGTTTAAACAACTACCACCCACACAGATCGCTATTAGTTACACAGAACAAGAAAGAAAAACATAAATAAATCCCAAACATTTGCTGCTGTGCAGAATCATAGCGGTGATATTTTGTAAAATATTGTTTATGTTTCAGATCTCTCTTCCTTCCCTGTCTTTGAGAGCTTATTGCAAGTTTTATTTGGCCTGCCTCTCTTTCTCCTGTTGTCGCCACACGTTTCTCCCTAATTAATTCTCAATACAGTGGCTAATTTAAAAATTGGCTTAAATTATTATTATAAAACAAAGTAATCTCACATATGTCGGGTGCTGCTTTTAATTCAGTTTACCATAATTAATTCTTGGTTAACAAGCTAATTACCAAACTATCTACAAGACCCAGGTCCTAAGCTAACTTAAAAATGTGTTTCTTCAGGCTACGACTGTTAGCTAGTTTAATTTTAGCAAGCTAATTAGCTAGCGGCACACTCTTAACGACTAAAGCCGCAAACTTTCCTCAATGTTTAAGAAATGAGAAGTTAGTAAGTATATTTTTAAAAATGTAATAAGTTTCCTATAATGGTTTACACAAGCAGCCCATTCAGTTTAAAAAAATAAAAAAAAAGTCATTATTTTTTATAGTTTATTATTAGCAAGCGAACCAGCAAGCTAGCTACGTTCACAAATTCAAACGTACCCCATCGAAAATAAAAAAAAAATACGACTGTCCATGTAAAAAGTTTTTTAATGATGGCTTCATAAACGTTAACTGCTATTGTATTTAGTTTTTAATGTATTTATCAAACAAAGGTCAACTACTGCTAGTAGGCTAATTAGCAAGCCTTCTAACAGTAGGTTTGAATATCAAGTCCTGGAAACCCAACCCTAAGAGCTCAGGTTTACAACCATCCTAAGTAAAAATGATATCAATTGTATCATAAAGCTGATGACTTACTTTAAGAAAAATCATAAAAATAGAAAGACAAAATCTCCAAGCATATTAGAAATGTCTAGCGTGTTTATCTATGACACCTCGGGAATATTTACAGATTGTTAATGTGATTTGTTTTTGTTCTTGAACAAATAAATATATTATTGTTGTCAAGCCCATTAAAAGTCATTAGAGGCAATATTTTGTGCGTCTACAAAAATGGGAACCACAGTAAATTATTTCACAAAGCCTTTATTACACTGATTTTGTTTTACGGTACAAATGCGATGAGGGGAAATGATTTGGCAGGCAAATGATTAAAATGGGGATTCTCCTTCATTTCACCCGGATTACGTCTTCAGGAATCAGTCAGCCTTAATTAGCTCGTTTTCAGGCACACGAGCTGAACGGATGTCACAGACTGGACAACAAATCCAAAGCTTGACCTTTAAAACTGGAAAAAACAACAAGAAGTTAGCAGGCTGGTTGAGTTGTGCACTGAGGCTAATTGACCTTTGCTTGGCTTGTTAACCTTGGCTGTAAAAGCTAGGAAATGAAGGCAAAAACAAGACACATTTCTTAAAATTGAAAAAGAAATTGAGATTAATTATGTGCATGAATCATATTTCCATTGCTTTCTCTTTATAAGTGCAGCCAGATTTTATATTTCTTGTGCTATTCTGAAATTAGTGAGGACATAAAATAAGAAAAGCTATAAATAAAGGCTGACTCTGCTCTTTTCTGGCCGTTAAATACTCCCAGTTTCTATGTGAGATAAAGATGAAGACTTTATAAATAACACCAAAACGCAATACAGTTACACTAACAATAAATCGCCTGTAAAAAGGGATTTCATGACCTTTCCGCCTCTCTTAGTGTCATAAAAGCATTCCTTCCCTTTGAAATTTGTTCCATTTTGTCACGTTGCAATCCCAAACATTTATGTATTTCATTGATATTTTATGTTGGACCACAACAAAGATTGTGTAATAGTGAAGCAGAATAGTAAGGTTCAAACCGTTACCAAAAATGAATAAAAAGAATAAAAAGTGTACATTTATATTCATCCCTTTTATCAACACAAGGGAATATATTAAATAACATGCTTTAGATCAATTAACTGTGTGTAATAGTGGCCCAGTCAAAGTCCCAACCTGAACCCAACTTAGAGATGTGTAATCGAAGACGATTATATGAAGAATTTACTTCAACCTTGCATTTCCAACTATTCACATATTCATTAAAAAAACAACAACAACAAAAAAAACAAACAGATTTTTTTCCCCACTTTAAAATTAGAAACTGTTTTGTCTCGGCTGATCACATAAAATATCAATAAAACACACTGGAGCTTGTGGTTGTTTCAAAGTATGCATGGCACTTTAAATGGATGGATTCCCAAAGAGGTTGCAAGCAGGGCCTGTGTTTGCTAAAGAAATAATAATGAAACCAACGTCATTAAAATATCCAGCTGATGTCGTGTCCGTGTCGGCGTACCTGCGGCGTATTCGGAGCGTGGAGTGTCGGGTGCACCAGGATCCAGATGCAGGCGGCTTTCGGTCCAGGAACTGGAGTCTCTTTAGTTGCAGCTTTGAAAATGAAGCCTCCTTCACAAGGCACATATTATCCCTCCGTCACAGGAAAGATCGTCCACAACTTCAAAAATAAATCTGTGTCCAGCAAAGAGTTTTTCCTTCATTTGTTTTACGTCCATAGATTAAAAAGTCCATTGTTCAGAACTTTGGCAAAGTTTTATGGCGGTTCTGATAGTTCTGTCAAGTTGCTGTGAAGCAGCATTCGGTAACTTTTATTTAAAAAAAAAGAAAACTTTTTTTTATATATATTTGTTAAAGCTGTCACTATGTCATGACAGTTTAATATGAGACAGATAGTATGTAATCACTCTCATGTATGCGCTGCTCATACCCTCCCCATTTGCTCTGCTACGCTACTGCAGGTCCACCACAACAGAGGCTGTCATGAATGTGAAGGCTAGTTAACATGATCACAAACAATTTTCCAGGAGTGGTAAGATGATTCTTCACCATCAGTGCATTTAGCAGAGAGTACACAAGAGTAATTGACAGCGCTAAGACCTTCTCCCAGCTCTGATTGGTTCGTTTTGACCGGACAGCCATAGTAACTCAGAGAGAAGGAGGAAGATCTTGATCTTTTCACAGATTATCTGTCTCACAATATCGGCACAAAATTGTGACAGTTTCCACAAATATTTAAAAATCACATTTTTTGTAAAAGTTGCATACTGTAGCTTTAAGGGTTCGTTTTTCAATCGGAATCCTCCCCGGCGGTGGCGGCCTCCAAAGCAGCAAGAGCCTCCGCCACCATGGAGTCTGTGACGCTCTGCACCTCCACCTGCTCTTTCCTCACGTCCTCCTCATCATCCTCGCTCTTCGTCACAGAGACACCGCTCTCCTCAGTGGAAACGTCCGCAGTCTTCGGCAGCTCGTCCCTCGTGCCGCCGGAGGATAAGCTGGTGGTGCTAGTGTGGACGTCCACGGACAAGACGCTGCCCTCGTCCCCGGTGTCCCACAGGTGCTCCGGCGTCCCCCCGACTCCCTCGTCGATCTCGTCCACCGACGGGCTCCCGCCTGCCATGCTGCAGGCGGTGATGGAGCCGTCCCACCCGTTCGTCATAGCCTCGTGCTGCGGCTCGCTGTAGCTCCTGTGGTCTTCATACTGCTGTACGTTGGGGTAAATAGGCACCTGGCTTGCATCGATGTCCATCCATCGTCGCCCTACGGCCTCTGGCTCAATGATGTACAGCCCGCCACCTGCGGGAGGCGAGCTCGCCTGCTGGTGCATCTCCTTTGCAAGTGACGGCGCCGAGTGAAGCCTGTGATTGACCTGGTTGTTGTCATGCTCCAGTTTGAGTGTGCTGTTGTTGGACTTGCTGTAGCCCAGGTTGTGGAACCCCTGCTTCTGCTTGACGTGGTCGCCCTGCGGGTTGCGGCCGGGGTCACCGCCCACATGGTGCTGGCCCTGGTAGAGGGAGCTGGCCGCAGAGTCGCTTTTCTGCCCATCCACCGCCGTTGAGGGGTCGTAGATGTAGCTGCGGGGAAGTCAAGACACAGACATGTAAATCAGAGAGACGGATGGGGTTTTTGACATGTGCAGTTGCCCAGGGCGGCAGTAGAACAGCTCTTGAGTTGGGTGGGGGAGATGCTGCAGGGACCTACATCGGTCAGTTGTGGGAGTGGGTGACTTTTGTGTTACTATTGCGATAACAATAAACAATGCAATAAATTTCCACCCCTAGTTGTTTGCATTTTGAAAAACCTTTTTATTCCTGCCAGTTGGGCTGCGCTCACACTGCAGCCTGAAGTGACCCAATTGCGACTTTTTTCGTCAAATTGGATTTTTTGCCAGGGCCGTTCACACTGCGACCTGCATGTGTTCTGCAGTCTGAACGGGCGAACAACCTGAAAGTGTCTCACATGCGCAGTAGAGGCCATGATAGCGTCAGCGTTCTCAGAGTTCTGCCAACTGCCATAAAAAGAAGAAGTGCTCAGTGTTTGCAGATGGAAACATGGAGGCTAACGGTGGAGCATAGCTTACATATTGGAAGTTGTTGTTCAACCGGAGCAGCATATCAACAACTTGATCCTCATTATAGGCCTTCATGGTTGTCGTTATTCTTCCCGCTTGCGCGCATTATGACACAGAGTAGTGAGATTTGTTGAGTGTCAGTGACGTTCAGTTCGGATGAATGCGACCTGCACGTCAGGTCGCATTTGAATCAGATACGTATCGGATTTGCAAGTGGATATGCAAAGAATCCGACCTGTTGTTCAGACTGTCATGAACAGAACATACGCAGGTCGCGTTACGTCAAAAAATTGGAATTGGGTCACTTCAAGGGGTAGTGTGAACCCAGGCTAAGTGGGATGTTGGCAACCCTTAGGAAGACAATTTGACCTTCCAAGAATATAGCTCTCCTGTATTTTGATTGGTTAGAACATAGCAGAAGGCGGGGCTTGTCCATGGCGGGATTTACCTAGGAGCTACCACTGCACTGAGACATAAACATGAACAGGGCTTTATAAAAAGATGAGACTCACAGAATGATGATGTTCATTAGCACCGGGTAAAAAAGTAGGTCTGACTTCATCTGTGAGACAGCACAGATTTATAATAATGTGCAAAAATAATGATGAAAACACCACCTCATTTTCCCTTGCTATATAACCAGTTGGATAACGAGTGGCTGGATTAAAAAAATGATGATTTAATCCATATTGAGTGAATAAAAAAACATTTTGTCTTTAGCAGAAAATCCTCCGATTGTTGATGTCTGCAGAACTGATTCTGACAAAGATTTTGATGATTAATTCTCACTTCCTTTGTAAACTGTGTTTACTAGCTCCCCTCCCCCCCAACTCTGATGGATTTTCATTCAAGGACAGACCAGGCTGACTCGTTCACACTTCGACTCTACCACTGAGAGCGCAAAGTCTTTCCTGCAAGACGCTGTCAGACGTCGCCCACTGTGAGCGCCTCTTGTTTTCATGACAACCTTTTCATTTGTTTTCTCCGTCTCATCACCATGTTCTTGACTCCAGCTGAGCCGCTTCCAGCTCACGTCTCTTAAGGTGCTGCTTGCTCGCATCCTTCTGTCTCCTTCAATGTCACTGTGATGCAGCTGCGACTCTAACCTGCTGTAACTTTACGCTTCTCCAGCCGAGCGTCCTCTGAGCAAAGAGCCCAAGTTCGGAGAATTAAGGAGATCGTTTTCAAACGCATCGACCGATTCGAGTTTCTCCGTCCTCTTCCAGCCGCCCACACACATCCTCACCCCTCTGACTTAAGCACCTCTTACCGACCCTGCGCTTCTCTTTTTTCCCACCCTCATCTTCTCTCTGCAGAATGCAGAGAAAATGAATGTTTTCCATTTCCTCAGCTCTGCTGCTGTGTCCTCTGCCAAAGGTGAAATCTTAAGCATGTTCTCAGAGAGGCGAGAGGCTCTCCTTGTGCTTAACTAAGGAAAAAAGAAACGACCAATAATACTTAAGAGGGGGGATGAGAAAGCCTGGCAGGAGAATGAAACTGTATTTTCATCAACAACAGGCGTCCATCCAGTTCATCTCGAAGCAATTTTCACAGAGCCAAACAAACACATGGCCTGTTGTTGTGATTTTCTCTTATTGCTTCCTGCCTAGTGGACAAACAGAACAAGGAATAAGGCGTTTATTTTTATACCTGGAACATATTTCAAGCCTACATAAGAGTGGGTCAGCTTCTCTCTTGGAAATGGAGGTGATGTCAGAATCACAGATGCCTATGTGTGACAAAAAGCCGGTGTCACACACAGTGTCTATTTTGGGTTATTTTTATCTATCAGTGATAAAAACTGAGCTATGCAGCATTGTCACTCGTTGAGGTCCAATTGACAACGTCTGCTGACCACAAACACTGGCAGTATGGTGCTGATTGTCACCGTCTCACTGTGATCCTCTGCCTACTCGCAGATTTTCATGTGGAGTTTAGATCTGGGGTCTGAAACTTGTGGCTCCAGAGCTCCACTTAAATAAGTTAATGTTTTGCAGTTTTTCCACAAATGCAGGTTTTTAATGGAATAAATAGATTTTCCATGACGGAATCAAAAATACGAGCAATATTGTTTTAGATTTAATTTTTTTAAGTGTCATTTGTGGCTCTAAACAAATCTTTTTTAGTCGGTCTGAAGGGAAATATTGTTCTTAGGATTGTAAAGGTTGTTGACTCTTGCTCCGAATTATTTACTGTAACCCTGCATATTTATTAGTTTGTGCTTATTTAGAAGGAAACTCCTGAATTTATGTGATCAATAAGATGTAAGACTGAAAAACGCGCTTCCTGTACCCCACATAAAATCTTAGGCAAATTGATATTGACACTAGTTCAAAGTCCGGGATCTGCAATTCCAGTCCTCCAATGTTTACTACAAGAAATACAAAGCAGAACATCCTTTTAAGGTGAAAAAAAGAAGAAAAAAAAAACCCAAAGCAACTATGCAGGGGACCAACATGTGCCTTTTCTATCTGTATAAAATATTATCTGTGTCAGAGATTTGGCACACCATCTCCACAGTAAAACACAATAAAGGCAGACTCAAGCTGTGAGGTTAGGCAGGGATAGGGAAGCTGATCAGAGGATGGGTGATTCAACACAGGCCAGGTCAGGATGGATTCCACCCCGCCCTTGCAAATATGTCTCAATTTGTGTTGCAAAGTGATAAAAAAAGCAACAAAAAAACAAAATACATTGATGTTTAGAGCTGTGCTTCTGCAGCCCCTGGATGTTTCCTGTCCACCATGCAGGAAAGAAGGCAGCTTTAACACAAATCCAAAGAAATGTATCAGAAAATTCAGGTGTATGCTGCTAATTAATTGCTCATTTATCAGATCAGCAGAGTTAAATACTTTCTATTTTTACTGGGTGGAGGACGAGTCCTCATCGCTGACCCAGTAACCCAAAGCCTCAAACTCTGCTAATCCCAGAAATGTGACACTCCACACAATTACGGAGGTATGTGCTTGTGTCACAAGCATTCGCATGTGTGTGTTTGACATAAGAAAAAGTGTGAAAGAAAGAGGTGTGTGGGGGGGTGGAGGGATTACTGCGCTGGTATGCGAAGCACATTGAGGCCCTTCATTAATCTCCAATCGGAAAGTCGTTTCCTAGCCGCGCTCTGCGCCCCGGAAAGCGCGGCGACGTCGAGCCTTCACAACGACACATTGTATGCTTCTAATGAGCAGACAGACCTGGAGAGAAATACAGTAGCCAAGGGCACTGGCTATTGACATATCGACTCACGGTTCGTACTAAAAGTCCACGTGAGGCTCACCGTGCAGACGTGTTATAAATGGAGCTCTCTCTGTCTACAGGAGACAAGACAAGAAATCATTATAGTGGATAAGCAAAGAGCTGGAAACGGCACCGAGGAGGAAACTAACAGTGAGAGGATGAAAACATTCAGAGGTCCAGCTGCCATTAGATCTGGGTCACCGGGGGTTAAACACGCAAATGTTTCTTTGAATTTAAAACAATTTAACACAAGATTTCCGCGTGTTTTTCCTTAAAAACAATCAGATTCAAAAGTGTTTTCACACTCTACACTGTGGACTCCATTTGTGCACACATGGTCCTGCAGCAGTGCAGTCACTGTTCCCAAAGTGCCTCAACTCTGTAGTCATGTGGTTATTAGAAGGTATTTTTTCCCCTCAGTCAGAGAAGTGCAGCTCAAAGCAACACCAGGAAACTTGTTCTTCCTGTTGCTTTAGCTGCAGTGGAGCTGCTGCCTCCCCTGACAGTCAGAACTTCATCTGGTGAGACAGGCTTTAAAACAAGAAATAGCAAATTCATACATAAATGTATCATTAAACTGTGACACTACATTGGGCTGTGGGCTTTAATATGAATATGGCAGAAAAACAAGAACGAAGGAAACAACAGAAAGAACCAAAATAGTGTTGATATTTCTGATGATACCAGCTTTTATGGTAGAGCTAAAACCCTTTGCACTGTTCACATTGATTTTGTTTGATTTTCATAATCAAAATATACTTTAAAGTGCTAAATATTAGCCTAATATAAATCTAACTAGTAGCAATAGTGATTAGTTATTTCAATAATTTATCTTCTGCATTGTTCCAGTTTTTATTTGTTGACTTATTTGTCTCCTTCCAGACAACTAAAGTTCAGACAGTGACATTTCTTGAAGAGCATAATATGCATTTTTTTTTCTCACATCCTGGTGAGTGAGAATAATTTTCATACATTTTATCTTCATGTTTTGGTTGTCTATAGAAAATCCTCCGTTTGTTCCCAATTAAAATAAATCTGAAAACTGTTAGAATTAAGATTTTTTTTCCTTAAGTCTTCACAATATATTGGAGAAGAAAGCAAAGTCAAACTGATACAAAAACACAGAATAAAGTCAGAATAATATCTTACCTTTTCACCATCCGGCAGCATTGGCACCCCATTTGGCCAGGTGTGTCGTGTTGCTGCAGAGACACATTAACAAACCAATAAAACATTAAGCAGCCGCACATTCTTGGAAGTAAATGGCGCAGCACCAAGAACAGAGCAACTCAACCCAGAGGCAGGACGTCAGATTTGAGCTGATCGAGAGCGGGTTCAGATTGATAATCAGGGAGCGTTATTGATCGCTTTTGACATGTGAACGGCTTTTTAATGAAAGCTTTTTCCTAGAGATTACACCTGATGACTTAGCTTTGCTCTCGGTTTGATTGGTGTTTGGTCACGACGATGGGAGCTGTGCTCGCCTGAAGCGCTGATAAAGTTGTTATTGCCATCGATCACCTGCGTGTCTGTGTCTGCCCGCACGCGCGGGTGGGTGTGTGTGCGTTTGCGCGTGGGTGTGAAAGATCGTGTAACAACGTTCAGGATGGGAATGACCTTTTCTCTCCTGGTGGTGTGCTTCACCAGGCTGTGGCATTTCATTGCCAGGGTAAATAATTAATCAGTGACTTTTGAATAAGTTTGTCTCCAAGTGAAGGAGGAACAGAGACTGACAGAGGGAGAGGACACAGTGTCTTTTAATGAAGAATAAACGCGAAGAGACACTGATCCTATAGGACTGCAGCTTAAGTCTTCAGCTTTGTTCTTATGTTATTTTCACCATCTATAAACTACGCATCAGAGCGTGTCTCGCTAATGTCACGTAAGATGTTCTCGTCACTCTTGCGGATATTTTTCTGTCACAAATCGCTGACATCTCTTTCATTTACAGACATGCAGAAATCCATCAGTCATGGCCGGCATGCCACAAACACGAATTTCAGTGTTTCGCTCTTCTCCAGACTTTCCTGTCAAATATTTGACTTTCACAGTGGGCCTCCGTTTATTTGCAGATTCACCTATTGGTAGATTTTTACGGGGGAATGTAACCCTAAGTTATCCATCTACTTTTGGGGGTTTTTTTGTAGCGCATATCTAAAATATTTGAAGGAATATTGCAGCTTGGAAAGCTGAAATGCCTGTGGCAGAGCTACTCGACATGCTATTGGCTGGCGTCTGCAAAGCGGCTTGCATTTACATTACTTGATGCTGAAGAACGGAAGAAAAAAGGAAGCAGCGTTATACTAGTCTGATTTCATTTCAGTAATTGCATCTAAGCTTTCTGAATCAGAATGAAATTGAACCGTTTAGTGCCTCAAGATCACCATCCCTAATGTATGGAGGAAGACGATGTTAAGCACATCTGAAATGAAGCAGTTTTTCATTAGGCTATTAAAAGCAAATGTTGGTGTACCATAGCACTCCTTTGAGGACTCACTTTATGACAGTCTCCTGATATTTCAGTTTGAAGTCCAATAAAACTTGGAGCTTTAATTTTGTGGGCTAAAACCTGAACTATGAAGCAGAATCAGTGCGGCTCAGTGATACGTTTTCAGGATTTCTTGCTAACTTGAGATCCATCTGTGGCAGCTGTTGCGTCATTATATGAAATTTGTTGGGGTTAAGCATCCCTGCTGAAAGCAGCCAGATTTAGGAATGTAAGAAAGTGCCCGACCTCCAGCTGGTATCAAAGACACGGATCTATATGTTAGCATTGATTAAACAGCTGCAAGGTCGGTTGGGTTATTCATGTAATAGCAGGTTGCACAGGTTTCATCACAAACAAGGCCTTCTTTAGGTGGAGGCCCTTTATATTTGTTGAAAAGCAGCAGAATCTGGCTTAGCTTTCCCGAGATACCTAATAATCCTCCTGCAGGTCTGCGGCTGAGTTTAGAGGCAGAAGTGGACGTCAGCATTCAGGCTACAGAAAAAAAAAAGACTCATCATCATGATGACGATCCTCTCATCTCCAAGTGCCTCGTATTCTCCTCGTCCAAATGGACCCTTGTGATTTGAGTTGGGCTTGACCGTAACCCGCCAGCAGCAATCCCCCCCGCTTCATATTCATCGGCACGTTCACGCAAGTGCAATTTCGAGTCGCCGCCGGGGCCGGATGCTGCGACAGGCTGCACTTTAAATAGCGGACCCTGTTTCATACGCTGCTGCTCTGCAGGGCACCCACCCAGCTGGAGGGCCCCTTATCTTCCAGGAGTGGAGCAGGAGAGGAGCTTATTTCCCCTGAGGGCTTCCAGAAGCGTCACATCCATGCGGCGTCGTTTTGGTCCTGAGAGAACACTGCAGTCACAATCAGGCGACTTTTACAATTACAGTTCACGTTCCAGCAGGTCAATAATCCTCCGAAGAGCTCCACCTCTTCGTCCCCTCAGACTGCTGGATGTGCAGATTTCTCCCTCCGTCTCTTGTTTTATTGTTTTGCAGTGGCATTTCTTTTCTGGTGCATTATGTATATCCCATATTTCACTGATATGTGTTTGCTGCTTTCTGCTCTCAGGGGTGTTTTTAATGTGCCTGCCTCAAAGTCTTCCAGGCTGCTTGGATTAATTTGGGAAGCATCCACGGCCCACCGTCCTGCCAAATACACAGTGATGGCAAAAAGAAAGCAGATATGCCCTCTATCAGCTCCAGGGGCTTTAAAAAAGAAACAACCAGGTGTTTACTAAGTTCTAAAATGATTTAAATCTGACTAAATGTAGCTTAAATGTGTACAACATATCTAAGACCTGAAAGGTGTAGTTCCTTTTCATCACAAGTTTTATGAATTGCAGCAATGAATAACAAAGAAATGTGCAAAAAGAAACTCAAATCTTATGCTTCATATTTGTAAATCTATAAATTTTGGCTCAAACCTGGTTAAAATTACATGTTATTATATTGTTAATGATAATATTGTTGTTCTGAGACCATTTCCAAGTAATATAATGATACCAGCACAATAATGTAAGTCCGTCTACTCGAAGATCAATAAACTTTCAATGCTTAACTTTAGAAGATACTTTAAATATCCAACAAACGGACAAAAAAAGACCAATAAAACAAAATAAAAAAACAACAACACACACCTGAAACTATAAATAAAATGAACTATGTAAACAAATGACAAACATCTCCGTAAACAAAATTACTGATCAAAAAATATAAAATCATCAGAATGGAAATGATCATGTGATTAATTGATTTACTGCTTGTTGCGGCGGGAGTCCATCATATTACAACAGTAAAAAATAAACTTCACATTGTATGTGAACAAATAAAAGACTCATAATCTCAGCTTTTCATATCACAAAGACCACTGAATCTGTTATAAATATTCTCATTTTACATGTTCTTTTGTTGATTTGTTGACTGCTAATCTTTATGTTTTACAAATTATGGCCCTGATCTATTATTGGAACCATAGTACAGATATCAGCATTAAGAGTCCCTGTACTTTACATACAAAATGATAAACATTTTACTACATCAAGAAACATTTCAGAATCGCTCCTCCGGTACACAAACTCTGATAAAATGACACTTTAAAAAATATTCTTAAAAATGCAGCAAATGATTAATTAAATTCAGTCTCCTGAAAAGGTAATTCAGCAATAAAAATGTGAAATACCTCATTTTGTTGAGCACACAGTGATAGAAACTATGGTTAGCAACAATGCGCATATTCGACTAAAGTGAAGAGAATGACTTCAACGTCCACTGAGAGCAAACATGCCAGACAGGATGATTAATGGCTGCCTCACTGGGTCGGAAAAAGCCGGTTTGCATCGGAGCTGGGTTGAGTTGCACATTTGCAAGGCAAAAAGAGTCTCTGGGCTGTTTGAGTGCTGACAATGTGATTGTGGCGTTGCCTGCCTCGGGCTAACCATCCTGCTCCCGCTCAGCAAAAAAGTACCCTCGGAGGAGAACTCGTCCTGCAGGCCAGGAATGGCAACAAAGCCACCTAAAAAAAAAAGGCTCCCAGTTATAGCGGAGAGAGTGTTCGCTTTTAAAGTCAAAGACAAAAAAAAAGGTATGTTCAGGCTCCAGAGTGTCTACTTGTAGCTGCCACACTGTGTTTGCTGATTAAGATGATAGAAGACCAGAAGACAGAAATACTTTTTTTCTGCTGAAGCGCAACAATTGGCAGCTTTAGGATCTTCTCTAAAGTGATTGTTTTTGTCAGTTTAACAAAGAATTTGATTTGTAGTTTCAAATTCCAGACAAAAGCAAGAAAGTCTTTCTGTTAAATGACAAATGGAGGAAATGGTTACAGAGTAAATAATATCTACAACTCAGCAAACAATAAATCCAAACAAACTGGCTTTATACAACAGAGCTCAGTGCTTTCAGGTTTTGAAGCTACTTGTTCCACAAATAACTTGGCTCATGAATTTGTGTACTTTAAGGTTAAAGTGACCTAAACGTGACCTGACAAACATGTCGGGATAAATACTTCATTAGGTGGGGGATGATGGGAACTGGACTACTGAGAAATGTCGCTGAAGGTCATCCATGCTGGAAAAGCTTCGACACCGAGAGAGTCAGATGACTCTGCTGTTAATGTAGTGAAATATTCTACACTTCATGCAGAACCTTAAGGTCTCACTGCAGCAAAATATATACGGCTTGGTGGTCTGAAGAAATATATGGCAAAGAAGGAAAAACAGAAGAAATCTGTACCTAATCAACAGCCAACATTACATTTGCTGCAAAACTTAGTTGAAGGTACACAAGTGGTGTTTTGAAAAAAAAAAGTTTTAAATAAGATAAACAAATAAATAAATAAAAAACATAGCCATAAACTGTAAGTAATCGTAACTATTACACAATGATGACTTCACACATCTTGTCTTCGCAGATCTAAACTCTCTATGTAATGGAATCAACTTTTTGCACAACGAGTCATGCTAGCTGTAGCTGGATCCACCAGAGGTCTGACAGCATTGCACAGGCCATCAAAGTTCATCATTCAAAACTGTTGAATCCATAGCTCTTTTGAAAAATTGCAGACAACGGTTTTCCAAAAATGTCTCCTACGTGTATGCCGTTACAGCTTGTGTCTCCGATGCTGCAATAAGACACTGATGTCTACGCTGATGGCTGAGAATGAGCGTTAGCTCACTGGCTGAAATATAAATGTATCTTGTCT